GAATTTTTAGTTGTATGGTTTATTTAATTGGAGATTATTTGATTTTTAAATTGGTATTCTTATTATTCAATATGTGCTTTCACTTCTCACCTTGAATATTTTACAAGCTCGTTCCTCTTCATATAGTTTCCAAATTAATGCTGACTTTTATGATTCTCAAAAAGAATAATTACGGGGAAGTGTTCAAAATTTAAAACATCAACTGCTATTGAGAATAAAAGATAATGTTTAAAAATTGCTTTATCTCGGTTTCAGAGAAATCGTTGGAGTAAATTTTTTGATGTCATTATAACTTTCCCCATAAAATTAGCAACATTTCCAGAATATGGGATAAATTAAAGATAAAAACTCGTGGAGTATTAAAAAAATTCAAAGAAAAGGTGCGTCGTATGTTTGTCAAGAGTTTGTGGGAATATTCTTATCGAAATGAAAAACATGTGAATTCATCTTCGTCAAAGGTAAAAACGTCTTGATAAAAATCAACAACTTTTACTCTTCAGACTTAACTTGCATTTTTTTTCCTTTTTCCTTTTCCTTTCATCTTGGCTATCTGTTGAACATTATCATTCAATGTCGTAAAAAAGATTACCTGCAAGAAAAACTTTCTTCTACAGCATTAAATTCTAGCGCTATCAAAAAGATACAGAATGCATGTACAAAAATTTTCGGAATGTCCATCGTGCACATCATGTCTCAATAAACAGTAAAAAATATTCAGAAATAATACTTCGTTATTTATTTATTTATTGTACTTTACAGCGTTGTGTATTTGGTACAAGGGGCGTGGCTACTACCATTTTTGTCTTTTTTTTATACTCTATAATTAATTATATATAATAATATAGTTTACATTAACGTGTATTAATATATAATTAATATGTTTGTGTTTATTGGGTAACAGACAGAGAAGAGAGAGGTATTCGAATACTGATTTGAACTCTCCATTAATTTATTTAATTATTTAACAATTATTTCATTTATGATCCGAATAATAATTATCCAGACTAATTTCTTCCATGATTATTCAGGAAATAATTCTTCACTCAAGGTTACCCCAATGTTGACGCGATGTTGAATCAACCTTGATCCAAGCTTGCCTCAATGTTGGACCAACGTTGCCTCAAAAAATTCTCTCAAATATCTTTTTCAATCTTATATGAAATCCATAACCACTCGGGGGTATAGATCTTAATCGATCTTTCATGAATGATCATTAATCTATTTATTTAATTATTTAACAATTATTTCGTTTCACCGCGATATTGTATAAATAGTTTATAGAATAGAATGAAGGCCATAATGTACCTATGTTAGATTTATGTATAAGAAAAACGAGACTAGAAACTTGAGTGAACGGAACTAAACTAAGAGTCCAATCTGTGGCTTTTTCAACGCACTCTCACTTGTACTCTTTTTTTTTTTTACGTGTGCATATGGTTTCGCTTGAGTTACAACGCATATAGCTATCAATGCTGTTACTTAGACTCAGTTCGTATTATCTGCATTGGAGACACAGTGCCATGGGGGACTGGTTGATCATTGTAAGAACAGGTAAAAGGCATTTTTTGCAACAAAAATTTCACTCCAACACACAAATTAGTGAATTATTATTGTCACATTGCATTTTCAATGAGCAAAAATCTTTCAACTCAATACGGAAAAGAAAACAATTCTATATCGACTAACCACAATAGAAAATATATTTGTTATTATTGTTATTATTATTGTAGTGCAAATTATGGAAGTATTTCTATGGATTCATGGGATTCATGGGGTGGAGGTAAAGATAGTTGGGAAAAAATTTTTTGGTCAGCCAATTTATCGTGTGTTATTGTTGATGGGGGAATTAATAATAGATTTTTAGGTCGATCTGCATTGGATGGATTTTTTTAGTGAAAAAGGAATGTCGAAGGAATGAAAGTTTAAAATATTGAATGTCATCAGCAAGTATTAACAGTAATTATGCAGTTTCACTCGTTAAAGACTTTCTTTGGAATTTTGTTGAATTGACAATGTTGAAATTGTTGTTCCCACAGCGATGTTTGTACAATGTGAATAAAATTCTGATGTTGAGGATGAATTCACTGATGTGACGGTTTAGCGAGGAATGAGTAAACAGTAAATTAACCGGTAATTGTAATAAGAAATTGTTCGGTGCTCAGGCAAGTATGAAAGTTATACAACTATTTCATATTTTATTGTTGGAGAATGAGGCTTGGTCAAGTTGTCTTGGCCGAGTTCGAATTTACATTGAGAGAGAAATACTTGAGTCAAGGGATTGAGTACTTGTCGGAAAAATGAGTTTTTCGAGAAGCACTTCTAATTGTTCTTCTAATTTTATCAAGAAACTCATGACTCGAAAATTGACGATAAAATCATGTCTCAGTCTGAGAAAAGAAAAACTCGTGTCAATAAATAATGCACATGCTCCAAAGATTATGATAATTTATTAATAATTGAAATATCATTATTCTTTTCTCAAGTCCAAAAGATTTTAATGTTAAAACAACTTGACTTGATTCATCAAGTCGTCATCTTCTCGTCAATTTATCGCTCATAATTTTTCCGACAAGTACTAAATATCTTGACTAAAGTTTTTACACTCAGTGCGAGGAATCGTTATCCCAGATATCGGTAATTCACGAGGACGAATTTCTTCGTAAAAGTAAACATGAAAAATTTTAAAATTTTAAAAATTTTTTAAAAATTTTCTCAATGCAGAGAAATAAAAAAAAATAAATTGTTAATTACCTAAAAATGGGAGAGGAAATAATCAACAAACGAGACAAAGATTGCAGATTATTTTTAATAAAATCCACCAGTCGATCTAAAATTCTAATAAAATTTGGATTGTTAACTTGTTTAGTGGGAGTTGAAATGATATTGGCTGTGATCGCGACTAGACTGTATCTCAATTTGCATTGCTTTCGCTTACTGCTCTAATGGATTCCCTCTCGATTTCTAAGTACCACGTTCTCTTTCTCTGTTATTATGTCTGTTATCGAGAGAAGAAAAAGACAAAAAGATGGAAAACAATGAGTGAATGAAAATACACGGATACATAATGAGAAAGCAATAAAAAAAAAAAAGGAAAAGCATTTCAATATCATGGCTGAGGTAAAATGGCCGATATAGGTGGAATAAGGATAATTGTGTGATGCGTGGGAGCGAGTTGAGGTGCAATCTAGGTGAAAAGACAGGGCAAAGCTTGGGTACATAAGATAAAACTAGGGCATTAGAATGCGTCGCGTGCCACGTCCATTTCACTCGACTCGGAAACAGCATTGGCCAGCAATCTTATTCCCTTACTTTTACACTCTTTGTTCCATATAAAATATCACAGTTGCCAGATCCTGCTTTTTGATTCGCAATCTGATTGACTTTAAACATTCGGCTTGAGTCTTCAGCTCTTTAATCTTTACTCTCGATATTTCAGATTTTTTTTTTTCAGTCGATAAAAGCGATTTTTTTTTGGAAATTGGAAAATGAGGAAATGATTTTTTTTGGAAATTTCTGTATGTGCAATTAATAATAAAAAAAAATTTCTCAAAATTTACAATGTCGGCGCAAGGCTGGGGCAAGGTTGGCTCAATGTCGGCGCATGGTTGGCTCCAAAAAATTCTCAAATTCAACTAAATATCTGGAAATATTGAAATAAAAATGATATATTTATTGAAATATTAATTAAAATAATGAACACTGCTATTTGTTTTTTCACTTGTATCTTTTAATACCAAGAAATTATTTCTATAAACGAATCAGGCACCCCTTTTAAATAATAAACTATAACAATCTCATTAGGATTTTCAACGACAAAAAGACAACGCCGGAGAAATTTAATTAATTGTTCTTTCTGAGAGGAGCATGAAGAATTCCACAATAATTAATCGTCTAATAAGACGAGGTTGCATAAACCCGAGCTGAAATTTTACTGTTTGTAAAAACACATGTGAGATAAAATGCCGTTTAAATCTATCGCAGAGAATGCAGTGAGTTTTATGTCCATGGCGAGACTAATGACCGGGTTATTTTCTTGCACGGTAATACTCAACTCATTCTATGATCCATGTATTCAAGTATTCTTGTGGATAAATTGAAGAGTTAATGCTTTGAAAAGTGAGATAATCTATGAATAATAAAATAATGTACAAAGTAACTAGTTGAATTCACCCAATCATATAAAAATTCCAATTCTACTCCACTCTAGACTAAAATATCATAAAATATCATAAAATATCATAAAGGCATATGACCACTCGACATTTTCTCAATGTCACCATCAATGTTAAATTAAATAGAAAAATAACAACAATTGATAATGTATATGTGAATAAATACGATCTTTACATTGATTTTTCAATGAATAATGATTTCTGGATTTTTTCAGTGAGACCCACCATTTCAATGACTATTGTCAATATTTTTTCACCGCCTGAATATTTTCACACCTTTCACACTCATTATTCACCGGAATTATTCCCACCATGAAATTACACCAGTTTCGTACTTCAATGGTATCTTCAAATAATTATCTTACCAGCAATAAATAATAATCACATGCACAAAAAATACGAAGAAAAAATAAAAATGAAGTGAATAAATAAAATAAGTATATACATCCCTTACATAAATATATAATCTCCTTTATTACTGTTTGAAAATATTTTTTTATACATCATAATTATTTGTAATACATAATATAATAAAAAAAGAACAACTGGGATAATAATAATGTAATAATCAAAGTAATAATAATGTTGATTTTTGAATTTTATATAGTAGTATATATTTACATTAGAATTACGAGAAAATAATTAATGATTGAATAAACGAAAAAGGGCGACGCTTTTTGTTGCATCATTTTTTAAAAAGATTGTAATCATATGCATTTGAAAAATTAGAGGTGAACGGAAACGTAACTCTCATTCGATTGGTACCGAACTGAAATTGGGGCAGAAACTTATGGTATTGGTAGACCGAGGTGGAGCGATAAGTATTAAATAGGTGTGCTACGTGACAGCAAATTCAGAGTCCTCTGAAAACTCTACCTCAGCATCTCCTTTCTTCCTCATCAAAAGGTGTATCAAGCAATTTATCAAATAATTTAAATCCTCTAACTTTTTTTTTTTTTAATTATTCAAACTTATGGTACAGTGAAGTGTTAAGTACTGAGGATTATAAAGGTACGCATAAGACCCCTAATAAGAGGCAAGTTTTATACACAACGGACGTAGGAGAAAAGTGACAGTATACCTGATGGTGTGCCTTGAGGAAGCCTAAGTCAGTCGCTGTTCAGACGGCGACTGGGAAGCACAAGTTTCATTTCATCCCATCGTAATTATTTATTTAATTATCTAAATTCGTTGTTCATACAAGATGAAATTTTTCGTAACGTTGTGCTTCATCATCGGGGTGGTGAACGTGTGCAGTGGAACACGAGTACAATCCAGTACCAAAAGAAAGAAGGGTGAGTACTCACATTATTATTTTTTTTTATTACATTTTTTTCATTAATAAACATAATTGTAAATCGAATTTATGCGGGAACAAGAGGTGATGCGCATCGATTGTAATAGGACTTTCAGTTTTCATCCTTTTATTTTTCGCGCATGTATTGAAGATAGAAAACATTTTGTTTATTAATAAACAATAAAAATAAATTGTCTTCATGCGGTTGAACACAAAATTTGACATTTTATGGGAAGAATTTCTCTTTTTCCACATTTCTTCATTCCCCCTCCCCCCCCCCCCCCCCCCCCTGTGTTTTTTTTTTCTATCCCCCCGCCGAGGAGCGAGAATCAGGAACCGTGAAGTTTGTGCTTTCTTACCATTTTATCGCCACTTATTACGTTAGTCGATCGAGTTTTATTGGTCCAGCCGGTGAATAAGGGATGTGATGGAAATTTACGGATTTTCTGGAATAAGGAACTTACGGATTTTGGGAATAAACAGGAATTATAAGGCGAGTGACCTGAATTGAATGGGTCATGAATGACGAGCAGTATTTCAAGGAATAAAAAAAAAACCAGTTTCCTCCATTTAACGGGTTTTTATCAAACTGTTGCGGATGTCCGATTAAAAAAATGAGGTTTTCTGGATTTTGGTGGAAATAACAATTTTTTTTTGTCATAGATTCTGTGTTTTTAATTTATTCAAAACTCCTCGATTAGAGAATTAATTATTCAATCATTAATGATTAAATAACAATTCTAATTAGACTGAAATATTCCGGTGGAAATATAATTTCCGATTTTGACTGTTTTAAATATTTAAAATATTTTAAACTCATTACGAAAATTCTAATTCACGATTTAAAATTGAAAATTACCACAGGAAAATTTCCCCGCGTCTCAGAAACACAACTGTCAATAACTAAATGAAAATGTCCGCTGATGAACTATTCCAGCTGAAATAAAATCACCCAAGAACAAAAAAAAAGCAATTGACTGAATTATCCAAGCATGAATAGTAAAAAATAATAAAAACCAAAGAAATTGTTCATTTTTCCCTTATGTAGATGCAGCCTTATTAGGTCGTTAATACGTAACACACCCACTGCAGGTCACACAAAAGACCATTCACCTTGAGTTCTCCTGAAAAAAAGGAGAAAAAAAAACAGAGAAAAAAAAAACCACTTGAGCTTCCTTAGACACTCATTAAAGTCTCCTAAGAAAGCGAAAGTACATTGTGGATAACGCATAGCAAACGAAATAGCAAAGAGAAAAAATATCAGAAAACAAAAAATGTGTAATTGAATTTGCGATATGCAGAGGGGAAAAAGAATCGGTGTGTGTGTGCGTATATATTTTTTTTTTACAATGTAATATTAATTATATTCTGAAGTACTATATGAGACTGTGTGGGAATGCAATCTCATAGTAGACATTTCGCCAACTATATCTTGCCACACTTCCGTCATTTAATGGGCCACAGTTGTCCCTCTTGTCATCATTACACTACAATTGCAGCATATTTACCGTGATCATTAATTATTCCTTGAATAAATTCGATAAACTCCGAATCATCTGATTTTTTATGATTTTTAGGATTCAAAGAAATGTAAATTAATTGAAAATTAAAATTGTAATGGTGATGTAAAGACTCGGATGAATTCGATATCATCGGATTTAGATAATTATTTTTTTTAATCTCAAATGTGTCGCATATTAAACTCTCGGATGATGAAATATAAAGAGGAAAAAATAGTAATCGTGACACAGTCGAGGTCGGGAAAGTGTAGACCCGTTATTCCTTATTGGCATCTATTCACAACATTCTAGCTGGTCCACACCCTTTTTTGTTCCCATTTGATTTTTATTTGTTATTCAATTAATTTTTGTGAAAGATACATTGAAAAACGTCATTTACCTTTTAAGACGAAATTCATCAATTATTTATAATAAAGATGAGACAAGGCTTGGCTTTCCCACAGTTGGGAATGATGTAATAGTCAGCAGGGCCTGAGATTTTCATTTTCACACCAAATTAATTAATTGAACTGGCGCCATTCTACACTGAGTAACATTTTTTTTTTCAAGAAGTCCCCTTGGATTGAGAAACGCAGACTGTACTGAGAAAAATAATTTTGAGTCAAGGGATTTATAATTTTAATTTTATCAAGAAACTCATGACTCGAAAATTGACAATAAAATCATATCTTACTCTGAAAAACAAAAACTTGTGTCAATAAATAATGCAAGTGCTCCAAAGATCATGATAATTTATTAACAATTAAAATATCATTTCTCAAAACAAGTCTAGCTGAGTGAATCCTCACAAGTATACTTTTCTCAAGTCCAAAAAAATTCAATGTTAAAACTACTTGACTTGATTCAAGTCGTCATCGTCTCGTCAATTTATTGCTCATCATTTTTCCGACAAGTACTAAATCTCGTGACTACATTTTTTCTCTCACTCCAAGGTATCGATTTCACAGTAATTTCTGGTGTGTGAATTTCTTCATAAAAATATGGAATTTTTTTTTTCTCTAAACCTAGAAAATTGATAAATCAGCATAAATAACAAAATATAAACAATTATCGGCATTAATCACAATTCCCGCGTATGCACGCCGGACTTGTGCCAAATTACAACTAGTTTTCATTCAAGAAAAGTCAGAGAGAAACCGCACGTTTTCACCGGTTTGCACGTTCTCATTCGTTTTCCCGTTGAAAAAAAAAGGTGCATTATTCAGTTTATACAATCCTCGCATATACACTAAGGATAGAGGTCATAATTTTCCAACTCTCGTTAAGGATGGATTAATAAATATGGCGTATAAGTGAAAAGCCAGATCAAGTGAGAGAGTCAATGACTCAGTACGTTATCCTCCTAGATACGCAAATCCTCCATGAGTAATTTCTTTTCTTTTTCATTTCCATTTTCGTTTTTTTTTTTCTCTCTTTTTTATCGCAACACACGTACCAACACCAGCAGGTCAGCTTTCTTCTGGATGCTCATGAGAACATTTCAACTCCATTCGGCTTTTCCTCGTCCTTGAAAAACAACACGCCCAATTAGTCGCATTTTCAAGTCTGATAGATTGATCAAATGAGTGAAACTCATAATTAAATCCAACAAATTAACTCACGTTAGAGAGGGAAAGTCGGACAAATTGTATATAATGTGGTATTAATGTTAATATTTGAATACAATACTTTGCGTGTTCCACGGAATTTTCTTGCACGCTATTTAATTCGCGTTTTATGAACATTAATTAAACATTTCAATAACAGAAAAATTGCTCCTTTCATTTGCTTGGAATTATTTCATTGACTTGATGTTATTAATTATATCAGACTGAGAGAGAAATTTATTAGAATTTCATTAATCCACTTGTTATAATAATAAATAAATAATTAATTAGGTTTAGAACAATCAAAAATAATCTTGAAATAAATGACTACTTGATTAATTTAATCTTTTGATGAATTCGCGTCGATTTATTGTTTTTTTTTAAATATGTAGTCGAAACAAATAAATATATAATCACATAAATACATAATTACATTTATATAAAATCGAAACAGATTAATAAATTATTTAATTCTATTATATTAATTTTTCGTGGCTGTTGAGAAAAATTTTGACAAAAAGTTGAGTTGCAATTCAACTCCAAAATTTTAATCCGTCGTTATAAACAATTTATTCAATTTATTCATTCAATATTATTTATTCAATTCAATTCAATTCAATTCAATATTCAGCACTGGCAGTCACACAAGTCTTTTCTACAATTTATTTATTTATTTCGTTAGATTCAGGATAATTTTTCATTTTATCCGAAAATTTGTCTGGTGGATGATTATTGAATGGTACCTCGAACTTGACATTAGTACACTTGACATCACCAAAACTCTCTAGAGACATGACCAACATCAACGCGTCTACCCTTGATACACTATTAAATAAACAAGCAAAACGAGTTTCAAACTAAGTCCATCGAACCGAGGTGAACATGTATTTCTTCACGCATTTCAAAATCGATGTTATACATCTGTCATCAATTTTTATCATTCATCAGAATTATCGAAATATCGAATGAATTCTACATCCGGTGAAAACAATTCAAGAACTCAACGGAGAATCAGCACCGATAACCCGAATACGAGCAAATATAAAATTTATTACTAGGTTAATTCGAGCAGTTCACTTAAAGAATGAAGGACAGCACACTCTCTACTTCCGAGGTAATAGTGTGAACAAGAACTCAACTACTCCGTTAATACTTTGTATAGATATACTCGCGAATCCGTGTCACGCTTTCTGCATCGTTTGGCGCCTGAGGCACTACCACCTGCAAGATTCATCACAAAAACACGAGATCATATTTTTATCAATGAAAAATTCTTCATTTTTTTATCTTTCCAATGATTGACGGCAATGCCCCAGTGGAAAAAGCCATTACAAGTCTGACCAGTGGCTGAAAAAAAAATTCCCCTCTAAAAATTTTTTTTTCATTTCCATTCAAAAATTTCATCAACTCCATTATTCTCAATCAAATTTCCCCCCAAAAAAATCATGATAAAAACATTGCAGTTATAATTAATATAATTTTCAATATTAACAATTATGTGAAAAAAAAACTTTAATTGAAAATTGTAAATAATTTTCGTATTATAAAATGAATAAAAATAAATATTTCTATTAGATATATTATTTCGTTCATGTTTTCAAATTTTTCGCGGATGTTTTCGGGCGGGAAAATTTCAAAAGAGAAAAAAACACCTAGAACTGAAATTTCCGCTGAGATGAAATTTTTCCTCGGTAAATAGACTGCGCTACAGGGGGTGGGGACTCATAAAAACCCGAAAGGGTACACAATAGAAAGGAAATTTTTTTAATTTAATAAATGCGCACCAAGCAACAAACTAGAATTGTCATGGTAGCTGAAATAATTGATATTACTCAGAGACTGGTTACAATAACTATACTGTAATACCATGACTAGCTGAGTCATAATAAATTACAACAGAGCAGTTATGATTCCACGTACAATCAGCTATTTAACTCTGCTCATTAATAAATCAATTGCGAATCACTGGAGATTATTTAAATTTTCATTCATAATCAATCAGGATGATCTAATACCCGATAGAAAAAATAGATTAGAAAATAATGAGAGGAAAAATAAAAAAGAGAAAAATAATGCAAAAGAAAGAAATCCGAAGGTCGTCAGTTAATCAGTCTGAATGGATATCTAATATTACTGTGCGTTGACCTTTCAGTTCCATCTCTTTACCCCATCCCTGAGCCCACCAAGAGATATCCATGCATGAGTAATAAATAGTGTCAAGTTCAAGGTGTATCTCGTTTAAATTTCCATAATTTTTATTCTCAAGCCGATTTCATTGATTTATTTATTTGAAGATCGACAGACGCATAAGATTTTCGCAACAAAAGGAATCAATTGAACAAATGAATTGAATTCGTCATGCTTTCTTTATTATTCTTAACAATGACCATTGAATGAATCAATGAAAAATAAAAATAATTAATTCAACGAGAGATTAGAATTTTCTAGACCAAAAATGCTGGAACCCCTGCGACATTGACGACGCGAATTAATTTATTATTATTTAATTAGGAAATAAATTCAGGTATTATTGTGACACAGTTGTCTCGATCTAAATGAAAGACCCACGGTGACACTCTTAAGTTCTCTCATGATCATTCAACTCTCCCCTGACCTTTCGTTTACCTAAAGGCCTTCTCCTGACTTCTGGGAAGAATCAGGGAGCCTCATCGCTCGATGTTAAAGATCATGAATTGCAAAAAAGGTCATTGTGATTCACGAGCATGATCCAAACTATTTCCTTCTCCCTGGTAAATCATTCGAAGGGAAAATGAACATTGTTATATCGTATTAATTTTCTTGATGTTGGAATATTCGCGAAATTAAGCGTATCGCAATCATCATGATTTTCGACGTTTACCTTTATTCATTTGAATATTATTCCGCAACATATTATATTGTTGCATTTTCGTCAATAATCATTCAAAGGAAATGACATGTATTGTTGACGATCACAATCGCACATTATTACGACACACATATTCACGTTTATCTTACAACAACCGGACCTATATGTCATAGAAAGCAGCACCCACTTGGACTTTGCAGGCACATTCACCTTTTCACTGCTCTCCATCACAATATCATGTGCCTGAAACTAATAAAATTTAACGAATAGATATTAATTCTAATAAATAATCTAATAATTCCACCTGACCACCTCAAAACAAATCAAACCTATCAAACCTATCACTCTAAACATAAAATTATTTCCCCCATTAGATTATCTAATTATTTACATAAATAACATGAAGTACAATCTGAAAATAACGCAGTGACACAAGGCGTTATATTTTTTAAATAAAAAAATATATGTCGACAGAAGCATTACCAGCCTCGGATCAGACCCCAGCCTCATCATTTTGGAGTCCATCAATAAAAACTGGGAATGTGTTTAATCAAGACGATTCATCGAGTTTCTTCTCATCGGCTCATAGTCTCGTGCAGACTCATCCAGCGGGTGGTACATTTCAGAGTGGTTTCGGGGGTATAGATAATCTTGGTAGTCTAGGTGTGACAGTTAGACCACCGAGAACACGACCACTGGATTATAGTGAACGTGCCACTGCCGAACTCAGAAGAAATACAGCTCTATCAGCCCCTGATGAATGTGCCAGGGCATGCAGAGAGGGTGAACCCCCACGAATATGTTATTACCATTTTACACTCGAATATTACACAGTCCTGGGCGCGTAAGTTTAAACAATTAGATTTATAAGACTCATTGTTATTCAGTATTTTTTATTTCTGGATTCACTGGCATGTTATATTATTTTTTATTTACCGTAGGGCTTGTCAGGTGTGCACTCCAAACACAACTAATACGGTGTGGAGTAATTGTCAGTGTGTCCTAGCTGATGGTGTCGAACGTGGAATTTTAACGGCTAATCGAATGATCCCTGGACCCAGTATACAGGTGTGCGAGGGTGACAAGGTTGTGATTGATGTTGAAAATCATATGTCGGGAATGGAGGTGACCCTTCATTGGCACGGAATTTGGCAGAGGGGATCGCAATATTATGATGGAGTACCTTACGTCACTCAGTGTCCTATTCAAGAAGGCAATACTTTCAGGTAATGTAAATATTTCAATAATTTAATAGTGGAATATGTAAATGTTTAAATAATTCAATAATGGAATATGTAAATGTTTAAATAATTCAATAATGGAATAT